AGTTTGAGGCCAGCTTGGAAAACTAGCAAGACCCTGTCTCAAAATAAATGTAAAAAAGATTATAGCTCAGTGGTCAAGAGTCCCTGGGTTCAATTGTCAGTGTCAAAATAAAGTAAAATAAGAGTGGCACAAGCAAAAACGATGACATTTTTTATATCTGTTACACTAAGTCTCCATGGCCAGTATTTGAGGCAGCCTGGTAGGATGTGAGCTCCCACGGGCTTGGGCAACCCCTGTGGCTTTTCTTGCTGTGACCCACATGGCTACTACGTCTTGGGCTGTCTCTCTCTACTCCCTGTCTGCAGCTTCCCCCGGCAGGTATTCCACATCCTGGCTTCTCTCACTTCCAGGGGTCTCCTTTGCAGCTTTAGCTTCACTCTAACAGATTCACGAATCACCCTCAGGCAGTGTTTCCAGGGAATCTGTTCTTCCCCACAAAGCCCCCAGCAGGGCTTTCCTGTGGAATCTGGGTGGGAGATTCCATGCCTGTAACCAGCTCTGTATGGTTGCAGACCCAGCAGCTGATGGAAAATGCCAGGGTCTCACTGGTGCAAGTTCTGTTCATTACCACTAGAACCACAGCTGAACTGGCCTCTGATGACATTGCCTGATGGAACGACCCCAGAGTAATGAGATCCAAAGTGGTCCAGAGCCTTCAGGATCACATTTTTTGAGCTTTCTTCTAAAAAAAAAAAAAAAAAAAATGCTTCCCTGAAAAGTCTCTGAAACACATGTGCATTTTTACATTTCTGGGCTTGTGATGGGTAAGGTCTTGGCGTTTCCTGAGATAACACTGAAAGCATATTTCCTATCACCTCAGTGCAAAGTGTTTGACTTCTTTTTAATGGTAGTCATAATCATACCTTCCTTGGCCTAAAACTAAACACATGCTCCTTTTCTGGCCAGATGGCAAGTTTTCTGAATCTTCCTGCTCTGTTTCTCTTTGCTTCCAATTCTCCCTGTAAATCTGGTCAAAACCAGTCAGGAATATCTGTGCTGCTGCCTGAACACTGTGCTGCTTGAAATTCCCACCACTAGATTAACTCGCGCATCACATTTCAGGTCAGCCTACTGCAACGATGCAGTGTATCGACAAAAGGAAACCAATTTGTTTGCCAAGGTATAGATTTTCCAATATCCCATTCAATGTCATGTCACTAATGACTGGAAAGTCTGCTATGAAATTGCACCTCTAAAAGGTTCTACCACCTTCCAAAGCACCATAGGCTTGGAATCAAGACTTGAATATGTGTGCTTTGGTAGGACACTAATTAAAACCATAACATCATATAAAAAAGAAAACTTTGATATTCATAGTAAAAGCTCATAAAAAGACACAGTCGGGAATAGGGATATTGCTCATTGGTAGAGCACTTCAGTCATGTGCAATTCCCAGGGGTTAAACCCACATACTGAACAAGAATGAAAACATAACTCAAACCAAACAAATAAACAACAAGGCAAAGATACATCCATGACAGTTATCATTATGACAGTCAGAGAGAAGCTGCAGGACCAAAAAAAGAGGCAAACAATCCACTTGGTGCTTCTGAAGAGGAGAACTCAAAAAGTAGAAGAAAATGTACAGAAGATCAAGAAGTACTTGTTTCAAATGAAAAAGTGAAGAAACTGAATCTGAAAAACAAGAGAGACAAGATTCTGGGAGGCACTGATTCTACATCCTTGACACTAGAATACATTCTGGTTACATTTTTGAGATTCACAATTAAAGAGAATTGCTCAAGCATCTGGCAGAGAAAGAAAATGTTTCATAAGGAAGAAAATATCAGGCTGGCGACAGAATGTTCCCCAGAAATATCCAAAGGTGAAGTCATGGAACTGTGTCTACAAAGTATTGAAGGAACTTGATGGCCTTGAACATTTTACTTTCACTATTCATTGAATCATAAAGGAGATAAGCATGCAAAGAGTATCTCAAACATGAAGCAACTTGAGACATGCAGTAATAATGAGCTATCCTGATGGCCAAGAAGTAAAATCAAAAGGAAAATTAAGACAGGCCAGAATACTAGTGCTGGTGAGCATCTGCTCCTTCTAAAATAGGGCAAAGAGGAAAAGTGATGAGCATTAGGACTATAGAAGAAGCCATTCCGTGTGTACAGATATACAAAGACATGGAAGTTTAAATCTGAAGATTGAGAAACACCAATGCAGGAAAATCTCATCCAGTATTGTCCATATTGGAACTGTTAAAATAAAAACTTTAGAATATCAAATATAGGAGACAGCAGTTCCTCAATTAGGCAGTGCCAGACCTCATGGAGTCAGGCCCTAGTAGGGGTGTGGTTGGACAGAAAATTTAAAAGTTCCTCGGGGAAACAAGGCGAAGGAAACAGATTTCATTAGTAGTGATGGAAAGTCTTTAGGTACAGGTCAATTGGAAACTCTTGATTTTACTGTTTATCTTGGGAATGTAAAGCACTGGAACCATCCAGTCCAATGGGCACCCAGTTAAAAATTTTGTAACCAATCAATTCTGGTTAAATGATTGAAATGTATGATGGAAAGGTATAATGAAACGTAGGTATAATGAAATAGGGAAGGGTAGGGCCAGAAGAGATCTGGAGAGTGTGTGTGTTTAATTTTTAGATCTAAATAATCTAAAAATTAAACACTCCCCCCCAACACACACACATACACACACACACCAAAAAAAAACCAATAAAACAATAAAAAAAACCAGCATTCACATGAACCCATTGGACTAATGCCCACCATCAGACTAGAAGGGTCAATACAGGGCATGCTCACTGCACCCAGAAAAGGTGAAAGAATCAGGAGGACTCAGGACTGAGGTCCCTATGGGGACAATGCTATCTGTAAGTCACTTAGGTCCTTTAGATTTCTTTAACGTGTTCCTGTGCTCCTGGGATGGCCAGTGTCCTTAAATTTAAGAACCTGTAGTATTGATTCCAGGGATTGATGTCCTGCCAGTCCAGCCCGGGGTTAAGATTTATTGCATGAGGTCTTGAAAGTTTGGTTGCCTGGCTGGAGTCTGGACAGAGCCTAGAGTCGTAGTTTACATCCCGATGCAGCTGGGGTTCTCCAGCAGTTCCTTAAATCACCTGCCCATGGATCTTTGTCTCAGTGTCTGTGTTTGAAGAACTGAACTTAGGTCATCTTGGTGGTCGTTTTGGGGGCTCTGTGCGAAAGGAAGTTAAGACACATAGAGTGAGGCCACGGCCAGAGGGACCTGAGTGGCCCATGAAAGCTTGTGTTTCTCTGCACATCACCTGGATGCCTGTTGTTTTCTCCAATGGTTCACATTCAGTAGATGGGCTTCTGTGATTTACCCTTATGTGCCGTGGTACTTCAATCCCACACCACCACTTTTGGATGTACCCCAGGAGGGCAGGTTGATAGGAAGAATGCATCGTTCAATTCCAGGTTTTTACAATCTCTGCATCTTTTAGGTATGACAGGGCTTTTCAACTTTTTGGTGAAAGAAACCCTTATTTTTTTGCCCCAAATGGAGCTGTGATCAAGAGCCCAATAAAGAAGAACTGAAAGCAGACTGAACAGAGGTAGATTACTTATGATGTGCCGTCACACCTTGAGGCCACACGCAGCACAAATCCAATTAGGCAGTGACTTCGATGGCATCTTGTACACTTACTGCATGATTTTTTTGTTATCAGTGAATATAAGAGTTACACACAGAGCTAGTGAGTTGCTTTTCTTTCTGAATGTATACGTTTTTCATTTCCCATCACTTCCCTTTAATTTTCTTTGGTGTCTTCCACAGTGAAGGGAATAGCTTTCCACTGCATTAACACCACACCCCCGCCACTCACAAAACCAGCCCTTTGACTACCTGGATTAAAATGGACTTGCTAGACTGGCCACAGCTAAAGACTATTATTCCACAATCTTGGGCAGGTCTTCTGCTCTCTCAGCCATGGCTCCCTGGGAATGCCTTCAGTGGCCAGGAAGGAGAGACAGGTACCATTGAAGGCAGGAAGCAAACCTGAAGAGTGGCTAGAGCTGAAGATGGTGAGGCCAAGAAATAAGTCTCTGGACAGGGGCAGCTGGAGAGCTGACAGCCAGAAAGCTCCTTTTGAGGGACAGGGTGTGCCCAGCTGTTCTGTGTCTAAGGCAGTAGGAGGGGCGGGGACAGGAAAGGGAGAGAGCAGTTTATCAGGAAAGAGCCAGGGAGAGGATTGTCCTGTGGGCATCCTGCCAGAGGACAGAGCAGAGTCCAGAGCACAGAGTCCCCGGCTCCTGGGCAGCCTTGCCTAGGGAGGCTCCTTGCTCCTGTGTCATTTGTAGTCAGTGTTCAGGGGGGACGCCCTACTCTCAGGAACAGTGAAGCAGTTGACTTTTCATCCCTTATAGCCCTCAAGACCCTCCCCACTAAGCCTCCTTCCAGCATGGTAAACATTCCCCCAGGAATTTCTCTAGACACTGCAGATAAGAAAATCCAGACACGCAGGACATTGGGGACCATTGGGGGTTTCTGATCAGCTCAGGCAAAAGGAGCAGGATTGTTGAGTCTGCTCCCTGCAGGATTAACTGGACATCTTGGGACACACCCAGTTGAGGACAGAGGACAGTGTACAGTACTGTCCAAGGTTTCCAAGAGAGAAATTCAGTTGAGGAATTTCCCTTAAATGCTGCTACCTTTTAATACAACGACTGAGTCTGCATGACAAACTTTAAGTAAGTACCATTATTAGCTCCAAGTTACTATGGGAAAGGGAGCTTCAGAGACACTAAAAGAGTTGTTCAAGTTCTCTCTGCTAGAATGTGCTGTGGCTGCGCCTGTCACCCAGGTGGTGTGAACTGAGAGTCTGTTAGATTCATCATCATGCTGCATAGCATTTACAGCATTAGCTCCAAGCAGGGGCCACCCAACTCTCTGAACAACTTAGAACTTGGAATTGAGGGCAGAGTAGAATCTAGGCTCCTGCACTCCCTTTGAGACCAGAGGAAACCCCAGTTTCAAAGCCCACTGCAGGTCAGTGGGGAGCTCCACTCACCAGGTTACCAGAGCCTGAGACCAGGAACCAGGCTGTGTGCAGTCCTGCCTCCTCCTAGGTCTGCAGAGGAAGTTCTGTCTTTGGTTACCAAATTGTCCTACTCCCAGAGTCTGGTTAGAGTCCACGCAGGGATCTCTGGGAAATGTAGTTGCAGGGCTTCCTGGTGCCCCAGTGGACCTCTCCTTCCATGTTTTCCTGAGGAGGGGTGGGGATTTATATTATCTGATGGTTCACACGCCTCAGGCTGTGAGGGACCTTTGTGTTCCATATAGTTCCTGATCTCTGGGAGCTTGAGCCAGGCTTCCTGAGTGTGAAGTGGAAGTTCAAAGCTTGGAAAGGGCACAGGGAAAGCTGTTCCAGTAACCTAGAGGGGGTAGAAGAAGGTGGAAGCTTACTGTCTTCACCCATTCCTGAGACCTCTCTATTTTCATTTTTCTTTCTTTCTTCCCTCATCCTCATTCTAATTTACATCTGTACCCAAATGCACCAGCACCACATAATATCTGAATTTTGTCTATGCATGGTACATAAATGTCCATATGACATTTCATTTTCTTCTGTTTTTATTTCCATTAATGACATTGGTTTGCAGTATTGTAGTTTCTTAGATGTTTCTCTCTATACTGCATTTGAAACACTGTCTTCATAACATGATTGATGTTATTTCTTTGGCACCTGATGCTCTAATGCATTCCTTTGGTTTATTGGTTATAGCTTGGACTCTCTACCTGAAGGCTTTCTGGTAGTCTGTGCTTGGGCAGGATGGTTAGACCTGCAGTCAGTGTCCCTGGGACAGCCACTCAGTGAGGATGAGGGGACTTGGAGAATATGTGTACCCATTTTCTAATTGCTCAACTGGGTTTCTCTGAAACATGCATGATACTGTCTCCTCACGTTATCCAGTGTGATTGGGCTTCATGCCTTCACAGATAATCTTTGCTGATTCTTAAACGGCCCTGATCTCACTCCTCCACTTGTGTTTCTCCAAATCATCTCCCAAATAAATGTTTATAGAAAATTGTTGTCCCAGGATCTGGTTTTAGAGCAACCCAATCTAAGAGTATTTAACTTGTTGTTCTCCTGGATAAGGGCAGCTGGGATGCCCCCTTGCCCTGTTATTCCAAACACTGATTTAATGAAAACTTTGCCCCATTATGTCTGAAGATTATCATGAGGATTTTTCTGGGATGGATTGCAGGAATGCAATGTACTGAGGGGCAGAATTAGTAGACCTAATTTCCCTCAGCACTACCAGATTTATCCTCTTATGTAGAATTCCCATGTTTCCCCTATGTCTTGATTGACAGTTGGTGTTGGCAATTGCCAGTGTCTGCCAATCTTATTTATCCATGGTGACAGCTCAGTGTTCTAATTTTCAATTCTCTGATTACTAGTGAATGTGAACAGCTCTTTTTCATACTATTGACCTTTCTCATTTTTGCCACTTTCCCCAAATTAACCAGGACACCACTACATGGAGGAATGAAACAGAGCAGATCTTGCCAGATAGATTTTTGACAGGATGTGGGAAAGGAAAGCTCAGGAGAAAAATAATGGGATTGGGATCTGGGGCATTTCAGTTAGTATACGGGAGGGGACGTGTTCAAGAGTTATAGCAATTGCTCCCTTAATTCTGGATATTTTGCACTTAGAATATTACAAGTGAGATTAGCAAATTTAAAAATCTGTGATCACTGATACAATGGAAGAAGGCTTTGAGGATGTCCAGTGAGAACTGTCAAGGGAAACTACCACATCCAGAGGCTGTGGTTAAGGGAGAGTAAGGCCAGTTAGGGATCCTGGTGTCTGAGGGCATGACACCTGATGCCAAGGGTTGAGATGTCACTGGGCTTGGAACACTCTACAGCCTCCAGTCGAGTGCTCATTTAAACCTACAAGCCAATATCTGAGTACATCAAGGTTTTGCTCAGGGGAGAAGAGTAGAGCTGATAAATGATTAAACTGCAGCTGAGCATCCTCCTCACCATGCAAATGAGAGGCCGAGAGGTACAGAGAGGTAATAATAACCATAGGAAGGACACCTTCTGTGACACATGCATGGTGTTCATGTTTTTGAAACCATTTAAAGCATTTGCATTAGTATGTCTGGTTTAAAGACGTAGTATATGCTAACTTACCTTTAGTTAAAATTATAACATGATGTTTGGTAACTGATTCTTTGTTCCCTTTTGGAAGAGAAAAAGAAAACCTTTCTCTCTCTCTCTCTCTCTCTCTCTCTCTCTCTCTCTCTCTCTCTCTCTTACAAGGGTAGAAAAAAGGAATAAAAGTTCTTGGTTTCCTCATTTTCCCTGAAGAGCTGATGTACGGGACAGGACTACTGGCTACAAGTGGAGGATTTATTTGTTTAATATATCTGTTTTAAAATTTGTTTACCACCGGTATTTCTGGTTTCCATTCCAACGGGTGAAGTTTAGAGTTATTCTTCCCATTTCAACCAGGAACAAAAAAAAAAAAAAAAAAAAAAAGAATAAACTGAAATTAAACAACTGTTTTGAGAACCAGCAGAAAATTCAGGTCACAAGGCAATCTGTCACCCTGACAAGCAGAGAGACAGATGAATACAGAGAATCACAGCTTATTCTTAATCCTGGGAACTAACCTCCAGGATTAGGAGGCTGTAGAGGAAGCCACTATTTTTAGGAATCTGAAGAATTGTCACTGATGGATTCTGGAGGCTCAGAGTGGAGAAATTCTTGTGAGCAGGTTGGGGGGTGAGTCTCAGGGGAGGGTGTGTGCACTGCTGGGATTTTGCCTCCAGAAGCCCCACCAGGTTGTCACCGAAGACTGAAGAATAATCCCCTTGTGCTTCTGTCAGAGGAAGGAGAAAAATAACCATTTTGATGTAAGCCCAGGGCATTCTGTTCTGCCTTTTCCCTCCAGGGAAATTACTGTACAAGAGCCCAGCTAAAAGGAGGGAAGAAAAATACCTGATTCTAATCCCCTCTAACATTCCTGCCTCCCCGTAGGGGGGGGGGGGAATTGAGAAGTACTTCTGAAAGTCAGATCCTAGGGCACAGGATCCCTAAAAGATTGGGTCTCATTATAGGACTTCAGAATGCATCTCTATATCAACAGGGCTATTATACACAACAGAATCGTGGCTGAAAAACTGAAAATTTGTTAGGCAAAAACCAGGCCACCAAAGGAAACTAGAGTCCCAGAAACCCAGGGCTACAGGAAGCAGTAAACCCAGCAGAACGTTTAGGCAGAAAAACACAAAGCTAAGGGCCTACCTACCTCAGTACCTGTGATCCAACACACTAACACCTACCCTTCAACCTAAAAAGTTTAAAAACATGCTGAAGCACAAAGAAAAGCAATTCTGAAGAGACAAAGCAAATATCAGAATCCTATTCGGATATGGTAGGGATTTGGGAGCTATCAGATGGGGAATTCGACATAACTGCGATTGGTCTGATTGGTGAATGAGCGACACCCTGCAGAAATGTCAATTTGAACAGCTATTCCCACCTGAACCGGCCTTCACAGGAGCTATGGAAACCAAGTGAGGGAACGCAGTACCTGGTTTTAGCAAAGAAAAGATACGTTGAAGAAGGCAGGAAGGAAAGAGTTGCCTGCGTCTCCTCCCCCAGGGGTAGGCAGCACCTGTGGAGAGCACTGACCGGCTTGGGGGAGGGATGGTAATAAAGAGCAGGCCTTGGACTTGGAACTCAGGGTGGGACCCACCATGGTGAAATCCAGTACTGGGCAGAACCCTATGGCCCCTGCTCCCAGATCAGTGCCTGAGAAACCTCTGGACCTGCCCTGGAGCCAGGCAGAACCCCACACCCTTAGCCAGACAGACTCGTGTTCTATCGTACAACAAGGTTTCCAGAGTCTTAGGTCAGAGGCCCAACTCCAGGGGTACCAAGTTGGGTCTGGCCACTCACCCCCAAAACCAAATGGAAAGAGAAGAAAGCCATGTCAGGAAGACAAGGAGATGGACATTTCCAGCCCTGTCTCTAAGGGTGCTGGCAGGAACTCCCAGATGGTGGGGCCAGCATGGATAACCAAGCAGTCTTGGTCAAACGGTGGTCCGGCTGGTCACTTGTCAGGACTGCTCAGGCAGGGTCCTGTCACAGCAGTAAGAAATGTGCTACTGCCCGGTGGGCAGCTTTGGCTCATTACAAGATGTTTATTGATGAAACCTGCTGTTCCTGAAACCCAGGGTGACTGCCAGAGAGAACGACTCAGAACAAAGGAGACGGATGCAAAGCGAAGGCAGAGGTGCCAAGATTCTACCCTGCTTTTAGTCATCCACTGGACACTTGCTGGGCCAGGTGAAGAGTCAGTTGTTTTTTTGTTTGTTTGTTTGTTTGTTTTTTACAAAAACAGCCTTTTAGTCCTTGTTATATCCCCAGTGACCATAGTGTGGCTCTGGAGTGTACCTGTAAGATTGTGCCAGTCCCTAGGACCTTGAACTTTAAATGTGACCCAGCTTAGTGTCAGGGTTGGTGGCCAAGGAGCTACCCTGACATCGATCCTCCAACCTCACACAATGTGGAGAAAAGCACCATCTGTTGGGCAAGACCTTGCCTTGGAACTTTTTTTTTTTTTTGCCTAATACTGAAAAGAACCCAGTAACCTCTGTCCCTAGGCCTCTGTCTACATTTGGAGTCTCTGGCTCTACCATTGCCCCTATCTGAAGCCTCAGTGGGATGGACTTCTATCTTGACCTACATCACCTCTACCCAGATTCAGTGGTTATGGGCCATGAATAGACCATAACAACAGTTCATAGCAGTATAGGCATTGCCTCTATCCTGGGCTGGTCTCAATGAGCTCTGTGTCTCTTGTGTGACTCATTATTGGGGAAACCACCATAGCCATGGGACTGCCTACCTCATCACTCTTCTAACCCAAAGCATCATAAAATGGTGAGTCATTGTCCACAAAGAGGAAGGCGAGGATGATAAGCCCAAGATATTATTTTAGAGCTAGGGCCAGATTCTCCATGTTGAGGTTCAACTGTGGGCAAAATCCTATGAACACTCAATCACATGATAGTGACTGGATAAGGGGTCTGGGGCCATTCCAACTTCAC